CACACACACACACACACACACACACACACACACACACACACACACACTCCCCCCCTTTTCAATAGTCTGTTGATTTTAGATAGCGTGCTCATAAATGTATAGTTGTTGTTAGTTTAGATATTAGTTGACTAGATCATTAGTATTAGAACGTAATAAACTCTGTTATATTTTAAAGAACAGCTGTCTGTGATTACTTTGTGCATGTGTATTGTGATGATAGCTGTATATGTGGTCTGTGCTCGAACTTAAACCTTCACTTTCACTCTGAATGTGTAATAGTACTCAGACTGTTGATATTGCGAGTGAACACTAATTATGAGACTTAGTTTTATCGTTTGGTTATTGGTCCCTGTCTGCAGGGTGGTGCCCCGTTATTATTAATAATCATTAATAATTGTTACTGACATTAATAATTCTATTGTCAAGAATTTAGTTTCTTAGATGCTGATAACCCAAACACGCTCCTCTACGTTCCCAACATATTGCTGATAACCCTTTGTGAGGCTATGTAATTCCCAACAAGTGTGATTCAATTTTCATTGCGTCAATTTAAATAATAAACAGAATAAAACAGTGTCTTTGTTTCTCTCTTCTGCCACAGGACCAGTCCTGGACAGATGACCCAGACATGCAGCTGATGCTCTCCAGGATTGTTTTTAAAGATTTGGAGCTTTCTCTAAAACACTTGGGAGGATGCTGCCCTCCTCTCACGGTACCAGAGCCAGTCTCCATCCCAGAGAAACTCAATAATGCATGTAGACAGCAGTGTTTAATCTTGCTTCTCAGATCTTCAAACTCCGTTAGTAGCCAGTGGACAGTAATTATCTTTGTTGTGCTCACATGCTCTCTAGATAAACTAGACTTTTTTTTTTTTTTGCTGAAAAATCAATTTCTTTGTGTGCTGAGCTCCATGGTGTCCATCAGAGGTGATGACAGCGTCAGGTCGTCCTGAAACCCTCGGAGCAGAAAGGGGAATGTGAAATGGCACTGTGGAGCAGCAACTCCAGGATTATAAGGATTATGTCTATTTGAGTACTGTTGCTTCCTTTGTTCTTTTGCACCAGATTCTCTTTGAACGGACATTACTGCTCAGGGTAGATGTTTGGTTTAACTAATGACAGTGAATGAGGTCCACTTCCATGTTAAGTCCAGGACAAGGTTAATGGGCCTCTGGTGCACAATGTCAGGACACAAACTGAAGTCAGAGGAGAGTACTATTAAACATACACTGTTTTGGGGAAGTCAGGTTCGCTTGACTTATTTTGCAGCCGCTCATGAAAGTCTGCGTCCTGTGAAACAGGAAGAGATGACTGACTTTTGAACCCTGGGAGGATGGGTGTCGTCATCGTTTCTACTCAACACTTCCACACCTATGGTAGACTGGCTGCCGCATGAATGAGCAGCTCTTTGCTTTCTGCCAGTAACTGAAGTCGACTTAACCACAGCTTTTATCGTAATTACCGCTGATGTTGCAGTCATTTGTGGTATCTAGTGGTGAAGGAAAGATTGTGTCCTGATATAGACGATTGAGATCAGATCTGTATTCTGTTCAGGTGAAGCTGCGACAATCTGCTTAACAGCTTAGCAGCAATTAGATGTGATCAGTGACAAAAAGTTGTGCGCTTACTTGCAGCCTTATCAACTCTATCACATGAAGATGCAGAAACTGTTCAGAATTGCAACTTGATGTCATGCCTCATTTCTTTGTCAGAATTGAAGAGTGAAGTTGTGAAATACGCGCGCATGCCTGAACATCATTATGCAAGCGGGTCTTTCAAAGCAGCAGGCCGTTTTGACATGTGACATTAAAATGATACATAAAGATGGAGAAACCAGCAGGAACACCAAAGTCCGGTTACCACACCTCAGTGAATATCTAACCAAGCGAGGAAACGTCCAGCATCACAGTCCGGAGGTCGGCTGCTGTAGTGTCGCTGTCTATCTTTGTAGTTAAAAGCTGCCTTGCCGATTCTTAACCGCAAGGTCTAAATCAAGTCCTAATAGTGATTGATTTTGGGAAATTTAAAGCCAGGCTCAGTCCCACTCTCATTTATTGATCCCACGCAACCTTGTTACGTTCCATTTGAGATCAGGTTGCATCCCTTGTTTTGCTGCTGAATGTGTGACACTGAACTCACCTGGCTGCAATGCTTTGAAGAGAGTGAATGTGTATGAATGTGGCCAGATCCGATTCAGAAAACAATTTCATTCTAATGCCCAACACTTGCTCTAGTCATCCTCAATCTACACCACCGACCCCCTCTTTACCACACTGCGGGACAGTGAACTGGGCCAAGTCCAGAGGCTGCTAAGTGGATGGTACTGCAGCACTCTCTTTTTTGTAACGTGTTTTATCTCCCGTTTTCATTCAAACTGTTTACAAACGTCAGTCTGAGCTATTGGTCTCCAAAGACACATAAAAGCCTCCATCCCTGGCAACCTGTGTTCAACGGGCCCATTCAAAAAAAAAAAAAGAGGATAGCTGTCAAGGTGGCAGGAAAAAGAGCAGGTTTTTGAAGGAATTCATTATTGTGAGCAATATTTTACACCGACATACACCGGCACTCTAGCCAAGTATGACTGTAACCCACAGTTTGATCCTGCCATTGATAACCATTCATTTCCCCACCGTGCAAGCAATTCTTCACACGTTTTGCCTTAGATATGACACATGTACACATGTTACTACTACTTAACTGTTGCTTTTTGATTTCTCGGTCTAATAACACTTCAAGGTGATGCTGACATATAACAGAAAAGCAGTTTACAACATTTAAAGAAGTGTTTATTTCCTGCACGTGTGTTAACTGAAACAGAGAACATTTTAAACACACATTTCTCTTGACAGTTGTGTTGTGGCATATTGATGCTAATTAGATATTTTAGGGTTAGTCTATCGCACAAAAAAAAGGGATTTACTTTTCCTATTTCAAAGAAGGGGCATGATTAGCTTCAAAAAGTCTGTAGAGGAAAATATTTCAACCAGTAGAAATGTCAAAAAGGACCAATCAGCAGAATGCTGACTTTATCTGCATGGGCTCTGCTGTGTAGCGCTGTTGTTGTGGCTGTATGTGGAGGACAAACCTCGCTCTGGGCTCTACAGCAGGATCATGATTCATCTCCACACAAGCATATACCTTTAATTTCAAGGAGAGCTGTCCTCCTTAAAAAAATGTCCTTCAAAATTTTGAAAATAAAGTATTCTGCCTAATAAATTACTAATGAAGCTGGACGAAAGGCGGCGAGGGTTACCAAGATGTTAATTATTCATTGGTTGGTCGCTCCCTTGTCCACTCTCGAACCGTCTGGGATGCACACGCACGCAGACCAGAGCTGATTTGTTATGATTTTTATCCAAGTCTGTGTCTGACTTGCTTGTGCATGTGTGCCTCATATCTTCCATGTGACTTCAGCGATGGCTGGTCCGGTTTCAGTTCTTTTTCGAAGTTTTTTTGGAAAGAGACAAGGTTTTACTTCAAAAATAAGCTGCTAAAAGAGTTCGACACTGTCACTGGCAGCAAATGTGAATGTTTTACAAATCAGTGCGGGTTTTGTATTATTGTTTTGACTCAGCGTATCATTGTACTTAATCAGTGGACCTCCACCTTCAGAAAATGCAAAGAGGAAGTATGCTCAGAAAAGCTCCCTCTATACTATTGTCCATATTAAAACCTAACTTCCTCTTGTAATAAATAGTACAACAGAAGACTGATTCACCCCCAAATACAAATGTAAGCGCTATTGTTTCTAACATAACCTACGTGCTGTTTGCAGTAGTAGAAAATACCTAACATGCACTATTGTTTGACATGCTATTTGCCATGACATCAACACTGTGTGCTGGCAGAGCTCTGCTGCTTCCTGTGTATCTGAA